CTCATTGCCCGCTACTCCAGCTACTTACCTTCTTCTAATCTGACTTCCCTGGTGTCCTCCCTGCTACCACACCCCAGACCTGGTGCTGCCCTGGGCCCTGGCCTCCTCCCTCCTCCCCAGTGCCCTGCCTTTACCTGTACAGATAAAACCAGGGAGCCCTCCGTACACCATTTCTTCATTGTCAGGGAGTATAAAGGGGCACCGGGTCTGCACCTCCAGGCAGTACTGCTTGCAGGGCACCCAGCGCTGGCATTCCTGCTGGGTCACGCTGAAGTATTCTGAGCACAGCCAGGCCTTGTAGACAGCCTGTGGGGAAAGTAAAGAGCATCAGCCCAGGAGTCAGCCCCTTCCCACCTCAGACAAAAGGGATGAGGAGGGTGTACTTGTACTCTGGGGAGGGGATGTATGTGCTTACCAGCCCAACCCCAGGATCCAGGAGAAGAAGAAGGGTTTGGGTCAAGACCACTACATCCTACCCTAAGATCTCCCATCTCATAGCCAGGACTCCTGAGTCCCTGAGTCTGCAATCATCCAAGACTTAGAATTTGTTCATTGGTAAAATCACAAAATGACTCCAATGTCTGAACTGGAATGGGCCTTACCAATCATCCCATCCAACCCTACCATTTTACAGTTGGTCCAAAGAGGTGTCCTGACTTGTCTGAGGTCACCTATAATGGGGTCAATTTGAGTTCTATTTAATTTAGCAAACATTTATTTGGCTGTTGATGGTTAACTTTCTAAATTCAAGAAAGAGATATAATAATCCTTGCTCTACCTCATTAGGGTGTTATGTGGATCAAATAATGACAGCCCAGCTGTATGGCTCAGTGGTTGAGCATTGACTCATGAACCAGAAAGTCATGATTCCTAGTCAGGGCACATGCCCAGATTGAGGGTTCCATCCCCAGTAGGGGGTGTGTAGGAGGTAGCTGATCAAAGATTCTCTCTCATCATTGATGTTTCTCTCTCTCCCTCTCCCTTCCTCTCTCTCGGAATAAAAATATATTAAGAAACAATATAACTCATGAAAATGTTTGGTAAGTTCTGAAGTGCAATACAAATGTGAGGGGTTATTTTTTATTTTGTGAGGGGTTATTTTTTATTTTGTGAGGGGTTATTTTTTATTTTGTGAGGGGTTATTTTTTTATTTTGTGAGGGGTTATTTTTAATAAAAACAGCAATCTGCCTTACCAGGCACTACATGTGCCTTCAAGCTCTATTTAATCCATGCTAAATCCTGGTGTAGGGCAGACACCATGCTTCATTTGGAAACTTTGCTTTGCAGTTTCACTTCATGGGTATATTTCCTGTCCCTTATCTAGCCCACTCCTATCAGGTGCTGTATCCTAGCCAAGCTATCATCAAGCCTAGAGTTTCTCAACAGCGACACTACTGACAATTTAGCTGGGATAATTCTTTGTAGTAAGGACTGTTTTGTGCATTGTAGGATATTGAGTAGCTTCCTTTGCCTTTATCTACTAGTTGCCAGTTGCACCACCGAACTGTAATGACCAAAAAATATCTCCTGCCATTGTCAAATGTCCCCTGAAGGGGGTGGGGGGCGGTGGCAAAATCATCTCCCATTGATAATCACTGATCTTCTCCTTGCTACTGAAAGTGTGGACCCAGGCCAGCAGCAATACTATCACCTATCTAGAAGCTTGTGAGAAGTGCAGAATCCCTGGCCCTTCCCTAGACCCAAGTCAGCATCTGCAACTCAAGCTTAGGGTTATAGTCCTGCCCACACTCAGTCCTCATCTCTTCAGCACCTTCTCACAGCAATGGTTGCTTCTCACAGCAATGGTTCTCAGAGAGAATCCCTGGGGCACCTGTTAATATGCAACTGGCCCCTCCAATTAACCTTCAAAAGGACTGAGGTGGGTTCAGGGATCTGCATTTTGATAAGGATCTAGGTCAGTGATAGGGAACCTTTTGAGCTCCGCATGTCAGCATTTTGAAAAACCCTAACTTAACTCTGGTGTCTTGTCACATATAGAAATTTTTTGATATTTGCAACCATAGTAAAACAAAGACTTATATTTTTGATATTTATTTTATATATTTAAATGCAATTTAACAAAGAAAAATCAACCAAAAAATGAGTTCGTGTGTCACCTCTGACACGCGTGTCATAGGTTCCCCATCACTGATCTAGGTTATTCTGCTGCCAAAGGCCTTTCACCCACACTCTGAACAACATGGTCAGAGCTTCTCACACAGGATTTCAAACATTTACACTAAAATACAAATAATTCCACTGTGAACATGGACTCTGGCAATATAATTTCACATTGGTCTTTTCCAAAGCCATCAGTGATGGGTAGTAGTGGGTTATGGTGCAAATCAACCCCGTGAAGAACAAAGCATTGCTTGGGACTTTGATATTTCACCGGCATCTGAAATTTAGCATGCTCTAAATCTTAAAATGAAATTCTCGATTTTCTTTTTCATTCCAAATCTCTCTCACCCCAAAGTCTTGGCCATTTCAGGTAAGTACCACAACCATCCACCCGGATGTCCAAGCTGGAAACCTAGGTGTAAGCCTTCATTCCTCTTTCCCTGAGTCCCCACATGCAGTCCATCCTCTTGCACAGCTTTATGAAGGCCACTGTCATTTGTCACTTGGATGACAGTTTCCTATCTGGCCTTCCTGCCTCCACTCTTGGTCTTTCCAATCCACTGTTCACACAGGATTAAGAGTGATCTCAAAATGTCATTGCATCATGTTACTCCCTTGCTTCAACTCTTCAAAGCATCCTATATAATCTTATATAATAAGAGAGAAATATGCTAATTAGCCAGGATGCCCTCACGAATAATGTCTGGCAGGAGCAGGTGGGTGTGGCTGCGTGCCACAAGAGGCCGGGCTCCTGAGGCTGCATCATATAAAATAAAATGCGTTCACATGCCTGAAGACGACAGGGTTCAAGGAGGAAGGGCTCCAGTTTCGTTTTCTCACACCCAGCTAGGAGGACTCCCTGGGGCGGCTCTCCCCTTGGAGCCCTGAGCAGGACAGGCGCTCCGCTCCGCCTGGAAGCCCCGAAGGGAGGCGAAGCAAAGTGCTTTCCCTCCGGGACCCCACTCTCCTTGGGAGTCTGGCACGGAGGGCGCTCTCCCTGGGAACCTGGAAATCTGCCTCCCAGGGCGACTGCACAGCAGCCAGGCCTGGCGAGCTGCGGAAAGGGCGACCTACCTGGAGGCCACGCAGCTGCCATAGTTGAAGTCGCCCTCGATGGAGGAGCGGGGGTAGCGGGGATCAGAGTCAGCCATGTCAGCAATGGAACCCCAGCTCTCTGCCGAAGACTAGAGCACACGGACCTCAATGGTCCTCGGTCACTTCCTGAGCAGCAGTCAGCCTGGACTGGGGATCAAACCCGAAACCTAAGTAGGTGCCCTGATAGAATGGAACCCAAACCTTTGCTGTGGCAGAGGAGCTCCAGCCCACAGCAGGGTTTTGTTGAGGGGCCCTGATAGGCAGTGCACAGCGCAGTGGGTTAGATCCTCCTCCTGATACAGCAAGGTTGTGGGTTGGATCCCTGGTCAGGGCACAGACAAGAAGCAACCAAAGAGAGCATAATAAGTGGAACAACACACTGGTGTTTCTCTCGCTCCCTTCCTCTCTCTAAAATAATCAATCAATAAAAATTAAAATAAAAAATAAACCCTCTTGTATGCATGCATGTAAGCCTAACCAATGGACACAGACAACAGGGGGGTGAGGGCATGAGTGGAGGGGTTGGGGGTAATGAGGGGATAAGGACACATATGTAATATCTTAATCAATAAAGAAATTAAAAAATAAAGACCAAGAAAATAAAACAAAATAAACCCTCTGGCACTAACCAGTTTGGCTCAGTGGATAGAGCGTCGGCTGTGGACTGAGGGGTCCCAGGTTCGATTCCGGTCAAGGGCATGTACCTTGGTTGCGGGCACATCCCCAGTGGGGGGTGTGCAGGAGGCAGCTGATCGAAGTTTCTCTCTCATTGATGTTTCTCTCTATCCTTCTCCCTTCCTTTCTGTAAAAAGTCAATAAAATATATTAACAAAATAAAGTAAAAATAAACCCTCTGGCTAAAACAGTTAGAAAGTGAAGTCCCATCCCTTCCCGTTCATTCAACAAGTACTTCATATGCTCCTTCAATAATCACACTGATAATCACACTGGGAATGGGTGTTTGTTTGTTTTGGTTAATCCTCACCTGAGGACATTTTTGTATTGATTATTTATTTATTTATTTATTTATTTATTTATTTTACAGAGAGTGGAAGGGAGGGAGAAAGAAACTAATGTAAGAGACATCAATTGGTTGCCTCTTGCTGAGTCCCTGACCAGGGCCCTGGATTAAGCCTCCAACCCAGGTACATGCTCTTGATCAGAATCCAACCCGGTACCCTTCAGTCCGCCTGCAGAAGCGAACCAAACCAGCATTTTTTTCTTTTTAAGTCCTCCTCTAAGGATATGTCCTTTTCATTGATTCTAGAGAGAGAGGAAGGGAGAGGGGAAGAGAAAGAGAAACATCTATCAGTTGCCCAAGCAATCCGACAGGGATGAAACCCACAACCTGTGTATGTGCCCTCACCTGGAATCAAACCCATGACCCTTTGGTGCGTGGAAGGACACTCTAACTACTGATCCACACTGACCAGGGCCTGTAGGTACATTAAAAAATTTTTTTTTCAGATCTTCCCTGGCCAGGTGGCTTAATTGGTTGGAGTCTCAACCTGTACACCAAAGGATTTCTTGTTGGATTCTAGGTTAGGGCACATACTTAGGTTTAGGTTAGATCCCGCTGGGTCAGCAGGTGCAGAGGCAGTCTACTGATATTTCTCTGTCACATGGATGTTTCTCTCTCTAAAAATCAATCTTAAAAACATCCTCAGGTGAGAATTAAATATATATATATATATATATATATATATATATATATATAGCACATCACCACACACCACACACACACACATATACACACACACTAGAGACCCGGTGCACAAAAATTTGTGCACTCGGGGGTGGGTCCCTCAGCCCGGCCTGTGCTCTCTCACAGTCTGGGACCCCTCGGGGGATGTCCACCTGCTGGCTTAGGCCCGCTCCCCAGGGGATTGGGCCTAACCTGGCAGTCAGACATCCCTTTGGCAGCCCAGGATCCCTTGGGGGTGTCCACTTGCCAGCGGGGACCAGGCCTAAGCTGCAGTCGGACATCCTTAGAGCTGCTGAGGAGGCGGGAGAAGCTCCCGCCATCATTGCTGTGCTGGCAGCCGTCAGCCTGGCTTGTGGCTGAGCAGAGCTCCCCCTGTGGAAGCAC